GCGGGCCAACATGCTTTAACGCCGTTTTTTAGTCTGGAATAACAGGGAGGTGGGTGTTTATACCGAGTGGCCCAAACATGTAATGGAAGTTGTAATTAATCAGTTCATAAAGGTGCTTTCCGTTAACTTAAGATTTTTAGAAATCCGGATCGTCGCATTTATTTCCTAACTTTATTCACTGCCTTCTGGAGTGCGTCTACAGCATGGTCGGCATCCTGCTTGTTGACGCACATTGGAGGTTTCACCCGTAGAACGTTCCCGTCAATACCGCCTTTGCCGAAAAGAACTCCCTGATTCTTTGTCTCTTCAAATAGATCTCCCATCCTCTCCTTGTCCAATGAGTTACCTTCTTCGTCAACGAACTCCACACCAATCATTAATCCTTTCCCTCTGACGTCGCCAATCAAAGGACTGTTAATTTTGCTTAGTTCTTCCAAGAAGTAAGTGCCAACTCGTGCACAGTTTTCTTGCAGTTTTTCTTCCTTGATTACCTAAACTCAAATTTTTTATTTGGGTAGTCAGATCATACACTACGATGAGTATACCCTAAAATGTGATAAGAATTCCAAGCGGAACAAACCGCTAAGAACAAAATCAACGGGATAGAAAGTGAATCCAACCTCAAGTACAGCTTTCCCAACTGTTGCAGCCATGGGGTTTCCACCAAATGTGTTGAAATAAGATGCTTTGGTGAAGCTGTTGGCGATTTCTGGAGTAGTGACAACTGCTCCCATCGGAAAGCCATTGCCCATACCCTAGAAGTGAAATAAATCGTGTCCAGAATGCAGTATTTCAGTCTTGTGAATAGTAATTAGATCAGTAAAGGCGGTCGCGGATTGGTGTACTCGCATATCTACTTCAGTCGAAGCCATGTCAAGCAGCCAGCGTTTTTTTTTTCGGTTTTTGTCAGGGCGACCGTGGCGTTGGGCAGTGTGCCTTCGTGCTACAGTACTTTGAAATTTTTGCGAATTAGCGCTGACTGTATGCAAGATGTTCAGAAACCCCGTTTTTTCAGAACTTGCGACCACCTTTTTGTATTTCAACCGCTTAAATAACCTTTGCCATTGTAACAATATCCGGATTAGTTCCATGAGACTGGAATCCCCAGAAGTGCGATCCGACTCTGCCAAAACCAGTTTGTACTTCATCACTGATGCAAACACCGCCTTTAGCGTGAACAGCGTCAAAAGCACCTTTTACAAAACCTTTTGGATACTGTACTGTACCACCACAACCTTGAATCGATTCGATTAGCACACCTGCTGGTCCTGTAGCAGCTGGAAAGTCGTATTTAAGAGTCTTTTCAAACTCGGACAGGTAGTTGACAGACGCCTGAAAATTCATGCATTAAGGTCTATTCCTTGAAAGCTTGACGTTAAATTATCAAATAGCACTTTACTTCACAGTGATTGCTGCTACAGCTGCACTGACGTTTTGGTTGTACAGGCGAATCACGGCAGTTACATCCTCCCCATGCTCCTTTGTATGGATCAGGTAAAATTGACTTGAGGATCCCAAAGCTGTATTTTCAGAATTGACTACGCACTAACTATTAAAAAAATATATAGGTCTGTAAAGGCGGCAATAAAAGCATAATGACGCTAATTTTTATTTTTGTTCTACAAGACATTTGGAAATGTTTTTAATATTATGTCGAAGTACCGTAGTAGAAGTCTTTTGTGCAGTAAGTAAGATTACAATTAGAAACCATTTACCCAGCCGGCATCGGTTGCTTATAATTGCCCATATTGGTTGCTCCTTGAACGGTTTGGGTTAAGCCGTGGTAACCGTTTCGCATTGCCAGAAGGTCGAAACGCCCGGTATGGACTCTCGCCAATGCTAATGCGAGATCATTGGCCTCTGAACCCGAATTCACAAAAAAACATGTCTAAAAGTAGACTTATTGTCACAACTTAAATTAAAATCGATTTAAAAATAGCTATTACATTAACACATCAAAAATTCATCCCTGATTGACAAGCAGTCCTTTTCGAACCCGAAACTAATATATCAGCTTTAAACGAACAATTCTAATAATAGTCTATCAATCATTATAGGGAACCTAAAATTGACTGCTTGAAAAAGAAATGATAGAACCTTCAAATGATTCGGCATTGTATCTGTTAGCATTTTTGAATACTCAATCACCGGTTCCGTGTAATAGATGCATGTTGTATGCCATAGTTTATCCAGTTGTTGTTTCAGTGCATCGGTGACTTTTCTGAAATTTGTAAATTTGGTTACGAGAGAGTCTACTTTTGTAGCTACCTACTTTTTTGATTTGTAGTATTGTCTAAAATATTGTAATTTGAATGGGACTGCGGAGGCAATTGGCAACAGCTTTGTTGGAGTGCTTTATGAACAGTCCCTCGCTAAAAACTGCTAAATCCTAAAAATTCTGGTGAAATTGGTTTAGATTATTACTTGCCTAGCAAAACTGGGTAAAAGAACTAGTGAAGTTTACTTTTTTATTTAAATATAATTGCTCTTATTTAACGAAATTAGACAGTTTTGCAGGCTTTTGTTTCCAATTAGTGACCAGAAAATATCATCAGTGAATAGTCGAGCAAACCCTTATTTTTCAACGGATGTAAAAAAGATGTACAACTGCGCGCTTTACGACTCATCTGCAGTCTTCCAACTGTATACCAACAATGAATCGTTCCAGTGAAAAGCAATTACCCAGTGACCTTTCGCCCAAAACCGTTCTATTAATGATGTCAAAAGATAATTTCTCTACATACAAAAGATTTAAACTTTTAGTCGCTCCATTCATTATGATTATTAAATTTAACAGCAGCTACTGCTTTAAAGCTGCGTTACTTGGTAAGCAGCATCAGTATGCAGTACCACAAGGAATGTATTATATAAATATTTTATATTTTCAAATATTAGTTTTATTTAAACGAATGCTAAAATTTAAGCTCAGAACTTAAGGAATACTACCTTAAAGGATCAAGTAAATCTAACATGGTATAAATGTTGAACAGCATTTCTTTTCTCAAGATAGCAATATCCACAACTATTCCCTTTCCTTTTAAAATTCATATGCTCCTGTTTTAATCGGTAAAATTTTCAGTTGACAATTTTTCGTTTTTATGCGACAGTGGTTAAGGCAACACGAAGCCGATATACCAAATCTTAAAGTTTTTTCCAAAAATATGTAATTTTTTCAGTAAAAAAGAAAAAAAAGTATCTGACGTGTGTAAGAAAGTTTGACATTGGCTACACTTTCTAGTCACACGAAAGGGACAAAAAGTGATACTGAAAAACCAGAAACTTCTCAAAAGGTCCGGCTTCGATGTCACTTTGCTATGCAAAAACAGTTTTTTGATTAGTTAAACTGCCAGAAAAAATGCATACTTTAAAATGAACAAACTATGTTGCAATTTAATTCAAAATGAAACAGTCAAGGATAGAGATACAAATAGAGACTTTAATCTTCTTTTCTTACTTTACTAATTTACTGCTATTCAAAAGTTTAATTAACACGCTCTATACCTCCCATATTTCCTAGAAAAAAACTCATTTAAACGATTACAAAATGTTTTTTCAGGGAACAGCTCTCTCAAACCGTTTTTGCTCGTCTGAAATGCCTGAAATTTTTAAAATTTTTTATAAGCAATTGCAACCAGAAACTGAAGGAACACTGAAGCGGTGAAAACTTAATTTAAAAAAAAAAATCTCAGTATTAAAGGGCAAAAAATGTCTAGGTCAAGTTCTGAGTCGACAAACTACAAATTTGTAACCACAGCCCACCATTAAAGCATTATGGGTTTGTCTCAGGGGTTTATGCTTCCTCTAAGGCATACCCTCTATTTACGCATACTAAAAATCTGAAGTCACATATGCTCCGCAAATGAACTGGGCACTCCTGATGAAAATTTAAAATGAGTTACTCGAGCTTTTTAACGACGTTATTCATATGAACGCATAACGTTTATCAACACTTCAGCGCTTCACTGCCCTATAAGGATGATATAATTGGCAGCGATAAACAAATATGTATATAACCAAAATTCTTTTACAGTTTTGTTGAACTGTTGAAAGACCACACAGTGCTATATCAACACGCTTTCGACCTCAAAATATGGCTTATAATATAAAAAAAAAAATGAACTAATCCACCCTTATTGTTTTCTCCGGTATAACTGTCAACTTCATTTTCCACTTAACTTCGAAGGTCAAAAATTATTTGTTATAAGTGTTACGGTAGATGACTCAATAAAGAGCGTAGCACATCATTGTTAACAAAGGCGGTTTTTATGTTCTGTTAT